CTGCTTAGCTGTGCCGGAAAGAAGGGGAAAGAGGCTAGCCTCAATGATAATTAAATCCTTAAGAGATTTTCCTAGAGTTGATAACCTCATTCGCCTTCCCCGTCAACACAAAAAAGGGAGAGGCAGAACCCCCACTCACTCTACTGACAGTGAAAATTTTTTGTCAGAGTCCAGGTGAGCAAGAAAATTGAAGAGGGCAACACAGTGGGGGCAATCAGAATTATTACCAGTGAAGATACAGTTGCTCCCAGGGATGCTGACACTGCTGAAGCACTTAGAGGAAAGCACCCTGCCAGGGAAACCAGTGGCACCAACTGTTCCAACACCTCTGTCCCCACTATGGAACCATTGATTGTGGAAGACTCAGACATTTACAAAGCAATAATGTCGTTCCCATCTGGCTCTGCTGGGGGTTACACTGGAATAAGGCCACAGCATTTAAAGGAAATGGTTAATCCAGTTATTGGGGAAATTGCAGAGACACTGTTTTCAGAGATCACAAGGTTCGTCAACAATTCCTTGGCTGATCTGATTCCTGATGAAATTAGACCTTTCTTTTTTGGTGCAACACTTTGTGCACTTAAAAAGAAGGATGGAGGAATTCGGCCAATTGCAGTAGGCAACATGTTACGCCGCCCTCGTGTCCAAAGCGCTGTCCGAAGTATTCGTGCACAGGCAGCCATGATGCTTCAACCAAACCAGCTTGGCTTTGGGGTCTCTCAAGGAAGTGAAGCAGCGGTTCATGCAACAAGGGCGTATATCAACAACCTGCCTGAGACAATGCAGTGGTAAAATTAGATTTCAAGAATGCGTTCAATCTCCTGAAAAGAGACGTGGTATTAGCAGCAGTACAAGAACATTTCCCTGGTCTCTTCCCTTTTGTTTCAGCTGGGTATAGCAAGGAATCAATGCTTCTCTTTGGAGAGCATGAAATCACATCATCGGAGGGTGTCCAACAAGGAGATCCTCTTGCACCATTTCTCTTCTGTATAGCATTAGGGAAATCACAGTCAGACTGACCAGCGAGCTAAACATCTGGTTCCTAGATGATGGCACACTAGCAGTACAAAGGAGTCCCTCCTACATGACCTTACACAGGTAATGACACGGGACAGGAAATGGGTCTCATCCTGAATCCATCCAAATGTGAAATCATCTCAGTCAGTCAATAAGTGATAAATGCAGTGAGATCAAAACTACCAGGAGCAGCAGTCATGCCCCCACAAATAGTGTCTTGCTAGAGCACCTCTGGGAAGCAATGCCATTGACACAATTCTCAGGAAGAAATTGGAAGAGTTAAGGAGAATGGAACAACGAATAGGCAATCTGGACACCCACGATGCCTTGTACCGTCTCCACAAAGTGCTTGAGTCTGCCCAGGTTGACATATTTCCTAAGATGGCACCTTCATATGATAACCCTATACTGCACGAATATGACAGTATTCTGAGGCAGATTTTTACGAAAGTACTTAACCTTACTCTAGAAGACGGGCAGTGGAACCAAGCTACACTTCCAGTCAGACTAGGAGGCATTGGTGTCCGCAAGTCATCACAGATTGCGTTACCTGCTTTTCTGTCCTCGTGTATTGCATCCAGAGAGCTTGTAACAGCACTCCCTGAACATCTTAGGGACAAGATTGGAGTCCAGGACCAAAAATTCATTGACGGAGCAATGATCTGGGATAATCTAACGGGCTCTGAAACCAGACCTGCTCCCCCCAACAACTACAAACAATCGCACTGGGATGGTCCAATAGTGGAAAATATTGCCTCAACAATGCTTCAGAGTGTGTCAGGGAAGGATAGAGCCCGCCTCCTGGCAGTGAGAGCCCCTCATGCTGGGGACTTTCTGTTGGCTGTTCCCAACTCCAGCCTTGGCACACGCCTTGACCCACAGACCATCCGCATTGGTGTTGCCCTTCGACTTGCCGCCCCTATTCTTGCCGAACACAGGTGTATTTGTGGCAGTGAAGCAGCAGACCGATTGGGGGTACCATGGTCTTGTGTGCCGTAAATCCGAGGGAAAGATTGCAAGACATGAGGAGGTTAATAACATTATCAAGAGGAGCCTCACAACAGCTGGATGCCCAGCAGTAAGGGAGCCACCCCAACTATGCAGATCTGATGGCAGCCAGAAGTCGTCCAGATGGTATCACCCTTCAAGCCTGGACAGATGGGAAGCAGGTGGTGTGGGACTATACATGTGCATCTACCTTGGCTGATACCTATCTCCAATACACCAGGGAGGAAGGAGGGACAGCTGCAGCTTCAGGGAGTCCCAAAAGTCTAGAAAATATGGAGAACTTGCCCATCATTATATGTTTGTTCCCATAGGCTCAGAGACCCTTGGCTCATGGGAAAGAGTGCATCTAATTTCCTTAAGGAGCTGGAAAAAGACTCATCAGGGTAACTATGGATCCCAGGGCAGCTACTTTTCTGTTCCAGCGGCTCAGTGCGGCTGTTCAAAGGGGTAATGCCTGCTGCATTTTGGGCACACGCCCCAGCTCTGAGGAGCTGGATGAGATTTCGCCTTATAATCGGTGATAACACACGTAACAACATGTACCGTATATGCCACCTTATATTAACAATGTATCTCTTAAATCTTCTGTGCTATATATATATATATATTATATATATATATATATATATATATATATATATATATATATATATATATATAATTATATATATATTATATATATATATATATATATATAATATATATATATATATATAATATATAATATATATATATATATATATATATATATATATATATATATGTTGGTGCGCTTAAATTTGTGAATGCAGATTCGTCATGTAACCAGCACAGCTGGTGACGTCATCAGTGACTGCCCCCGAGCTAAACTTACACCAGAACCTCTCTCACTCACGGGATGGAGGGAGGGAAAGAAGGGGAGGGGGGGGAGAGAAATGAAGGGAGAGATGGGTAAGTGAGCAGAAGGGAAGGAGGGAAGAAAACTGGATTCCGTTTGGTATCATCACTCATGCTGATTGGCTGGCTTCCTTAGCACAAGTGTTGAGTGAGACCTTGCCCAATCACAAGAGACAACAGCAAAATTAATATTACACAGCGACCAATCATAACACTTCACCACTACTGCTACAGCTTCGGAGCCTGACCAACACTGTCACTATTACTGCCTCAGCTATAGACCAATCCCGTCACTACTGTATCATTCTGGTTCAAGACCAATTGTCACTTACAGGTTGTGGTTCAGACCCATCAAGTCACAGCTTCAAGTCCAGACAAATCACGTCACTTGGTGCTATAATAATAGGTCAACGTAGGTCCCATGCGTCACATTCATTGGCAAGGACAAGCCGGCGGCAGCAGTGGTACCAGCGGCGGCAGCAACTGCAAGCAGTAGCAGCAGCACACTAGAAACAGCCCCAGCAGCAGCACTGACAGCACTAGCACGAGCAGTGATAATTCTCATCTAACCACTGTTGTTCACGGGCTCTCGCTAAATAACACACTGATATCAAGAACTTAAAACACCATTCGACGAGAAATTTTAGGATATCCCTATAATTCTTCAAAAAAAATTAACTTATTTCTTAGGATAAATCATAATAAAATGTCACTTTAGTATCTATAATGACTACAGTATATATGATAAAATCATTCAGTTTCTGAATACTACTTGCTTTTAATGTAGGGTAATTGTATACCTAAATATGAAAAAGACAAGGAGATAGCAATCAAAATTAAGAAAATGAACGAATTTAATATTTAAACCCTAATAACTATTAATATAAAGCAAATCAATAAGCAGAAAGAATGGAATGTAACTTCGAAGCAACAGGTGCAACATAAACGCGTCTAATGGATTTTTTTGCAGTTACAGATCACTGAAATGAACTGCCCATTGAAGTTTCAAGTATAAAAAAAATAGTAATTTAAGACCCAAATGGGTCTTAAATTACTATTTTACTTAGCCAGGGAAAACCCCTGGTTGTCTTCAAGAGGGAGCTGGACAGATACCTAAAGACGGTGCCGGATCAGCCGGGCTGTGGTTCGTACGCTGGATTGCGTGCGGCCAGCAGTAACAGCCTCGTTGATCAAGCCCTGATCCACCGGGATCAGGGCCTGATCCACCGGGATCAACGCCCCCGTGGACCGGGCCGCGGGGGCGTTGATCCCCGGAATGCCCTCCAGGTAGATAACAGGTTTAACTAGAGCTGTGGAGAGGCTGAATGTGGTGAACGGAATCCTGACGTTTATTCAGGAACTGAGTCTACCTCAGTATGATCAGTTGAGTGAACCACCCAGGGCATAATGGTGGTGGTGATAGTTGTAGTAACACTAACAGTAGAAGCTAAACATGCTATAATGCCTATTACAATTAGAGAGCTAGATTGTAGCTAGTCTTTTTCAGCAGATGCCCTTTGCATATTTGATATAAAAAAAACCTGAATAACGAGTATCATTTGTTATTATATTAGTATATCCGTCTGGCTTGTACAAAGACAACCCCTCAAGGAAGAGGTTCCTTGATGCTGAATACCTTCCACATCCCCCCCCCACAGGCGTTGTATAACCCTACGGATTTAGCGCTTCCCCATTGATTATAATAATATACAGAGACAATAACAGTCCGTAAGTCCTTGGAAATAATTTAGTTTCGCTTATTGCCAATGTTACGTAAATAAAATTCCTGAAGAAACTTTTCCTGCACTACATTTTATCTAAGACTATAAAACGCTGACAAAAACCCTATACTTCAGATAACACTTGTAATAAGACCATACATTTCCCTGGTAATCTATTTATGAAGAAGCAACGGTCCAACTATTCCACATCGAAGCCAATACACACAGTTGAAGGCTCTGTATAGTATTCGTAAAAAAAAATTAATAAAGCTTACCTCAATCTGCTAACACAATAAAATAAAATAGATACTAAATTAATAAGGATTACCTACAATAACTGACTAGATATTAAAATGGAGCAACTGTGATAGCACTCACCCATGAACCTGGCGCAAGTCACTGTCACCGGTAGAATGAACGAGCAGCAGCAGAACACCAGGCCACCACCAGCGGGCCCAGTGGGTGCCGTGACCCAGGCCACCAACCCTGGGCACTATGGGGTCCCTCATCCCTGGCCACTACCCCTGAGAACCAGAGGGTCCCTCATGCAAAGCCCCCACCCCTGGGACCCAGTGGGTCCCCCACTCCAGGCCACTGCACGAACTACTTCACAAGGATATCAATTAACAATAGCATGAACATTCTTCAAGTTTATGAGAAACACGAAGGCAACATTTGTTTAGTTTATCATTACATTTCCCATCTTATCGCTTTCCTCCCATTCCTCAAGACACCCATACCGGACTTCTCGTTCCACAGTACTTTTTATTTACTAATCCACCCTATCATAATCATAATTTTTAAAGGGGTGGAAGGGTAAGCCAGTGGAAGGCCTGGGTCAGATGACCAAACGCTCCAGCTGCGAGTCATCATATGACTTAAGACCCGCGCCAGGAAACACTTGTCTTGTTTCCTGACAAACCTTACCTAACCTAATCCACCCTATGAACACGAGAATTTCTCACCCAGTATCTCCCTGAGCTCCACACACCCTTTACCTTCGATATACCTTTTGTGAGTTTCTCAATACGGTCCACCCTAGGGTCCTACCCTAGCTAAGCCCAGAACCCAGCACCACCTCATATCCAATCACATCCCCTACTGACATACTTCCCACCCCCTTCATTATCGAGTACGGCAACAGCACACTGCTAGTGTACCAATTTGTGTTTACCACCCCCTCCATTATAGAGTACGGCAACAGCACACTGCTAGTGTACCAATTTGTGTTTAATCAAAAAACATCCACACCCCCCAGTACCCTAAACCTCCCCCACCTGAGCAGCACGTGATGTTAGCAGTGCTCCAAGAAATTACGTCAGAGTTATACGAAAGCATTCATACACGCACATGCGCACACGGGTACACATACAGAAACACACATGCGGACACAGACACACACATAGGCGATAAGTTTTTACCTCTACTCTTTACCAACATCTCTTCTGTACTCTCCATCCATACCTCTTCCTCTTCCATTCCCATCTCCCACCCACCAATCATTTCAAAAGTTTCATTCACACCCTCCTACCCCAACGCCACGTCTGTCCACCTGTCGCTTCCAGATACTCACCCACATCACCCTATTCTACTTCACATTTCAACAATACACAAATAACCCTCAAATAAAAGAGAGGAGCTTATGACGACGCTTCAGTCCGACTTGTACCATTTACTTTGTAAACTGTTCCAGTCACGGTACTGTGCATTTTTGTTCTTCCGCTCCATCAAGTCATAAACAATAACAGTCCCATTCTACTCCACACTCCAACAAGTCCCAAACAATATCAATCCCTTTCTACTACACATTCCAGTAAGTCCCCAAGAATATCAATCCGTTTGGCATAATTTTGAGGACACGTGATTACTGGGAGAAAACACCTCAACCATCGATCCACTATTCCATCTACAAATAAAATAATTACACACTAAGCTCATTCACAACAATGTACTAATATGGTATTAGTACTTAAACTGTACCAATATAGTATCAGTACTTAACCTGGTACGAGGGAGAGGGGAAGGAAAGAAGGGACCGAGGGGACAATAACGGAAGAATAACTGCAGAAAGGATGAATGGATGAAGGGGATGGGAAGATTTCAAGGGCAAGAAAGGAATGGAAACCAGCAGTCTAATCCTGGATAATTTTTATCTTCTTTCCCTAACCCACAGCATATCGAGCCACCGCTACTTACTGCCTGGTGGACTATTAAGACGTATGTCATCTGACGTCCACTGAATCCAGGAAAGATTTTAAGAAATCCTTGACGCTAGCTACAACCCAAACCACCCACTCAATGGAATTCTATAACCTTTAATATAACCATTTTCACATAGCACAATCAATGTGAATACTTCACGCCTAATACAACCCCTCCCCACCGCCACACATACACAACGATCAATGTCCATTTTACCCAAAATCAATTCATTTTTATTCGTCTGCCTGCTTATTTCATAAGTAACCTGTCTATCAGTTGACACGGCAATGTCTATCACTGTATTGAGCGAGCGACCTTGTGTCATTAATGACACTACTTTAACAATGGAGTTATTTAAGTTACTCTTCATAAACCACAGACCTGTTCGTGATATTACTATCTAAATAAACTAATAATAAAAAGTGATGGAGCTCTAGAAATGGGGAGGGTGCTAAAAGTATATTATACGTGAGCTTGTTCTAAAGCCTCCCTCCCTCTGTGCCTCCCCCACCTAAACTACCCTCCATCCCAACCCTCCTCCCACCCTCGAGTTAAACCCACATCCTTCCCAAGGCTTCATTACCGTGGCGTATGAAGACTGGGTCAGCCGAGGTCAGGCAGAGGTGAAAAGATACGTGACTAACTGACTAGGTCAAGAAGAGCCAAGGGGCGGTAAGAGGCTATGTAAACCCCCCATCCCTCAGGACTAGGGTCATTTGAGGTCAGGTAGAGGTTAGAGGCTACTTGACCTGTGATCAGATCACCAGTGATTAGGTAGAGCCTAGAGACTACGTGATCTCTAGGGATAGGGTCAGCACAGGTCAGGTTAAAGCTACGTGACCATCCCCAAGCCTACGTCAAGGTTAAGAACATAGTCGATACATCCATATTTACAGACTCGCCACCATGGAATACCTCATTCTCAAAGACGACTGCTATAGCGACCTGAATATTCTACTTTGGCCGAAATATTGAGCAGATGAAGGCTTTGCGACAAGTTCTAGGGACTGAGCTGCAAGACAAAATATACTAGACTAGTACCTCAGCTCCAAGACAAAATATACTACGCTAGTACCTCAGCTCCAAGACAAAATATACTAGGCTAGTACCTCAGCTCCAAGACAAAATATACTAGGCTAGTACCTCAGCTCCAAGACAAAATGTACTAGGCTAGTACCTCAGCTTCAAGACAAGATATACTAAGAAACTGAAATACTCGTAGGTAGATATCGTCAGTGGAAGACCAACCATCAAGAGGAGACATGACCAACATACAAAATACTCCGAGATATCGACAGTATTATTAATACAATTGTAAGTGCTGTACCTGTAAGTTATAGAGCTCCTGGGATATGACCCACAATTAGGTGAGTACACACACACACACACACACACACACACACACACACAGGAGCAATTGGCTCCTGGAGTTCAATCCCACCAAGTGCAAAGTCATGAAGATTGGGGAAGGGCAAAGAAGGCCGCAGACGGAGTACAGTCTAGGGGGTCAGAGACTACAAACCTCACTCAAGGAAAAAGATCTTGGGGTGAGTATAACACCAGGCACATCTCCTGAAGCGCACATCAACCAAATAACTGCTGCAGCATATGGGCGCCTAGCAAACCTCAGAACAGCATTCCGACATCTTAATAAGGAATCGTTCAGGACCCTGTACACCGTATACGTTAGGCCCATATTGGAGTATGCGGCACCAGTTTTGAACCCACACCTAGCCAAGCACGTAAAGAAACTAGAGAAAGTGCAAAGGTTTGCAACAAGACTAGTCCCAGAGCTAAGAGGTATGTCCTACGAGGAGAGGTTAAGGGAAATCAACCTGACGACCTGGAGGACAGGAGAGATAGGGGGGACATGATAACGACATACAAAATACTGAGGGGAATTGACAAGGTGGACAAAAGACAGGATGTCCAGAGTTTGGACACAGCAACAAGGGGACACAGTTGGAAGCTAAAGACACAGATGAATCACAGGGATGTTAGGAAGTATTTCTTCAGCCACAGAGTAGTCAGTAAGTGGAATAGTTTGGGAAGCGATGTAGTGGAGGCAGGATCCATACATAGCTTTAAGCAGAGTATGATAAAGCTCACGGCTCGGGGAGATGACCTAGTAGCGATCAGTGAAGAGGCGGGGCCAGGAGCTCGGACTCGACCCCCGCAACCTCAACTAGGTGAGTACAACTAGGTGAGTACACACTTAGATACATCTAGACAGGCTGTAGACCTGGTCCAGCAACTGGCTCTTGGAGTTCAACCCCACCAAGTGCAAAGTCATGAAGATTGGGGACGGGCAAAGAAGACCACAGACGGAGTACAATCTAGGGGGGCCAGAGCCTGCAAACCTCACTCAAGGAAAAGGATGTTGGGGTGAGTATAACACCAGGCACATCTCCTGAGGCGCACATCAACCAAATAACTGCTGCAGCATACTGGCGCCTGGCAAACCTAAGAACACCATTTCGACATCTAAATAAGGAGTCATTCAGGACCCTGTACACTGTGTACGTTAGGCCCATACTGGAGTATGCGGCACCAGTTTGGAACCCTCACCTAGCCAAGCACGTGAGGAAACTTGAGAGTGCAAAGGTTTGCAACACGACTAGTCCCGGAGCTAAGGGGTATGTCCTACGAGGAGAGGTTAAGGGAGAGCGACCTGACGACACTGGAAGACAGGAGAGTTAGGGGGGATATGACAACGACATATAAAATACTAAGAGGAATCGACAAGATAGACAGAGACAGGATGTTCCAGAGATGAGACACAGCAACAAGGGGTCACAGTTGGAAGCTGAAGACTGAGATGAACCACAGGGATGTTAGGAAGTATTTTTTCAGTCACAGTTGTCAGGAAGTGGAACAGTTTGGGTAGTGATGTAGTGGAGGCAAGATCCATACATAGCTTTAAGATGAGGTATGATAAAGCTCATGGAGCGGGAAGAGTGACCGAGTAGCGGCCAGTGAAGAGGTGGGGCCAGGAGCTGTGAATCGACCCCTGCAACCACAACTAGGTGAGTACCTGGTAATGTAAATAACGTGGCCATACCTGGTGCCAGCGACCTCTGGTAATAAGACCAGTGACGTCACAAGAGCTGCATTTCTTCAAAATTACATCTTATTCAGTGATCATATTTCAACACTCCACTCGCATTCCACCACCATATAACAAAGACAACCCACCCACCT